AATAAAATTCATTAAATTATTTTATTAAATTAAAAAAATCAATTTTATTTACTTACCTTTTATAATGTACTTTACAGAATTTAAAAAAAATGAATTAAATGTTCTTTCCAATTTCTTGTTTTATCTATTTCATTTAAAACTAATCTTAGACCTTGTGCTTACGTATAATCCAGATCTACAATAACACAGCCCTAACTTTTTTTATGAATATACTTAAATTGAAATGCTGAACCCGTTAATTGAAGCATTAAATTAAATAAAGCATGAAAAATCATCTGATATGCAACTGTTATTATATGATTAGTAAATACACAGACAAAAATAAAAACCAAAAATATAAATTATCAAGTTAATTAGCATTTAAAACTACAATTTATAAAAACTAAAATATAAAAACTAATATTATAAGATTTTTTTTATACTAATAAATTTTGTAATAAGTAAAAAATATCATACTTAGATTATGTTAAGAATTATAATAATTAACCTCAAATTCGTTAATTTTACCTATATCACGTTTAAAAAAAAAATCTATTTGAAAGTGTTTACACTTTGTTCATTCAGATAATTATTCAGGTGTAGTACAGATAATCATCATGTGATTATCTTCAAAAATTCTAGTAAAAAATATTGATACATTAATAATTAATAAATATTATAAAGAATGTAATTATATATATTATATATATTTACCTAAACGCTTTACATATTCATAAAAATTATCAATATTATGTGAATAATTATATATAACTCCTAAAAGACCATGACCTTGTAGATGGATTTCTTTTTGAAATTTATTTACGTAATATCAAAGATGATCTGTATTATTTAGAGAAGCATGAATATCTGCAAGATATTCAGTTCTGAAATAAGTTTTAATTAAATTTTCTAAAAATATAAAATTAAAATTTAATAGTCATTATTCATTATAAATATTTGTACTAACTTTAAAAATTGTATTTATATTATCAATTACTAGTTAATATATAAGTTAGTGTAATATTTGTAGTATTAACATCTGCTCGTTGAATTAGTTCTTATAAATGAATATGAATAGAAATTGATACACAGTTGAGCGGTGATGGTGGATGAAAATGAACACCTCGAGATATCAAAATTACAAATAGACATTTTTCTAAATTAATAGGAATTAATTTAGAAAATTTAACATTACAAGATTTTTGAATAATTGATCTACATTTAATAGTATTTTTTGCACGATGAGGATAAGCTATTAAAAAAATAAAATTATATATAGATAATTAATTAATAACTTTAAAAGGGTGATAACTAGTAACTGAATTTAATAATAATTTATGACAAAGTTTTTTTTAAAGCTATTACTTAATACTATAAAACAGTTATTTACTGGTTTGTCTATTTCATCCTAAAATAAATTATATTTTAACTGAAGTTAATAAATTTATAAAGTACAAAATATATTAAAAAGATAAAAATTAAACCTCATATAATCCATTTAAAAGTTGTTGAAGTAAATTAAGGTCAATATTTTCTTTAATACTTATATACTGGTAAAACTTTTTATTAAAATTCCATCTATCACAACTAATAAAATAAGATGGTGATATTGTTTTATTACGACACTTTAGACATTTTAATACAGGCCTTCTAGTGCATTTTATGTTATCCTTATTATAGCGACATTCAGTTTGAATTGCTGACAAATATATACTAAATAAAAAATTTTAGCCAGTTAAATGCATTAATGCAGTACAAGTTACACAATTTTAAATTAATTTAAAATATATATTTACGCAAAAGTATTATTTTTTATATTATTACTTGATAATTCCTCATTCACTTTTAGGCATAAATCAGAATCAGGATCTATAGACTCGTATTCTATTTCTCGAAGTTTTGAACTTGCAAATTCACATATTTTAAATCTATGATATATTCTATCTTTTTTATTTACGATAACATCACTAAGATAACTACAGGTTGTCAAATTTTGTCCAAAAGGTTCACCTATAGGATACTGAATCTTAAAAAAAATAAATATTAGTAATAATCATTAAAATTATATTATTTTATTTAATACTTATATCTGCAAATGCCGCATTTACATCTTGCCACCCTTCAATATAATAAACTATCACAACTCCATCTTTGCTTGTTAGTGGATATTCAATAGGAGTTAATGAATGCAATACAGTTTTAATGGTTATTTGTTTCGTAATATATATTTCAGTGTCTTCCTCCAAATCAAGCGTTATATTATTTAACTAAATCAACCAATATTTTTTATTATTTCATATATATCTATAAAGTAAACATGATAATAATAAAGTACCTCCATATTTAAGTCTTTTTCATAAATAATATTTTCTTCATTAATAACTATAGATGACATTTTTAATTATTGTTTAACGCGAACTCTGAGTTGTTGTAATAAAGGTATTTGAACGCGTGAAAATTTTTTTTTCTTGCTTATATCATATTTTAATATATCACATTACGATCTGTAACATTGTATCACCAACTTTATCAAGGGGTATTACATTAATATTTTACAATACAACACACAGTATTTGTTTCATAAATCATACATAATACATTTTTTATTTTTATGTTATACACTATATAGTTGATCGACCCTATACTACAAGTTTCTGTATTATTCATATACTACCCAATGTATTCAATACACTATTGAGTATATTTCTATATGGGTCCTTTACAATAGAAAGGAGGGAAACTACCTTATAGTAGTTTTTGAAATAAATCAGTTTTTGTGAAATAAACAAAGGAGGTGAGGTGATACTAAAAATAAAATGCGCAATCGACTCATAAATTGCGAATGTCAATCATTACCAAAATAAAAAATACAAGCAATATTCTTTGCAATAGAAAAGAAGAAAACAGCCAGAAAAATTGTTGCCGAATTTGCTGATTAATACTTTCGTTAAAATGGATTTTGGGAAGGTAAAGGATTCGGCTTTTATTTAATGGTGAGTGATTTTTTTTATTTTATTTTTTTTTTTTTTAGAAACTTATTAATGTTCCTTTTCTTTTTTTTTAGTAGTGTTGGTTTTTGACAAGATGGAGGAGGATTCGGCTTTTGTTTAAATGATAAGTGAACTTGTTTTTTATTTTTTTTTATTTTAGGAACTTTATTAATGTTCCTTTTTTTTTCTTTAGTAGTGGTCTTAGATTTTGATAAGGTAAAGAGTTCAGCTTTCGTTTAATGGTAAGTGATTTATTTTTATTTTATTTTATTTTTTTTGTTTAAAAAACTTTGTTAATGTTCCTTTTCTTTTTTTTTCCTTAGTGATAGTCTTGGATTTTAATAAGGTGGAGGGTTTAGCTTTCGTTTAAATGATTAGTGATTTATTTTATTTTTATTTATTTTTGTTTTAGGAACTTTACTAATGTTCCTTTTCCTTTTTTTTAGTGGTAGTCTTGAATTTGTGCAGGGTTCGGTATGGTAAGTGAAAACTTTTTTTTTTTTGTTTTAGAAATTTTATTCTAGTGGTATACAACATATTAAATTTAATAAATTTAA